CTCAAAGACTCTTGCTTTCTCGTTGTGTGTGTGTCTTGCTTAATCTCCCTGGCCAGTCTAGAGGAAGTTGTGATCTCCTCATTAAAGACGTCACACTGAGAAGATTGTAGTAGAGGAATAAATAGAACAAGTGTTGGGAAGCCAAGCAGCTCATCTTGGTTGAACTAAAATGCACTCCCCACAAACTGGCGGAATTCCCCATGGCTTTGTTTCTCCCAACTTCACGTAAGGTTCCATTACTCTTTTGCAGTGTACCTAGCTAGCTCATCTGAGGCTTGCCTCGTTCTTGAAAATGTTGTTTTACCTATTCCTGTAGCTAAATAACCAATTTGTTTTACAAAAAATTAGTCCTCTGGTAGAGAGAGTAGACGAGAGCGTTGGCTCCTTCCGAAGAGGGAAGAAGAGGCTCAAAATCCCGGAATCATAGAATCATTTAGGTCAGAAAAGACCAAATCCAACCATCAGCCTGACCTACCGAGTCCCATACTGTCACAGGTGAGGTCCAGAAGAGAGTTTGAGCACGTAAAGGTCCTACAGATCAGTGCTGGCTGTGTGTGAGGCTGTCCACTACCATCAGCCTGCATTCCTGGCCTGTGTTTTAGCACTGAGGCAGTGCTAAAACACAGGAGTAGTCCTGGGAAGGGGCTGCCAGCCCCATCCAGGCTGATTATCCCTGTCTGCTGCACGGTCGCAGTGTGCCTCTGTGCTAATGGATCTGCTGGTTCTTTTTATAATTGGCCTGTGTGGAGCAATCTGATCTGATAAGGCCGGCAAATGTTCAGATGGCCTCACAAATGGAGGAAATCCATCAAGACAAATCTACGTGTTTCTGCACGGGATTTTGTGAAATTAAAAAAACGACAGCCCTATGTTTAGGAGTTCAATTTCTGGCGGATGTCTGAGATTTTAAAGATTTCCCAGTAAAATCTTAAACTGTATGTGTTAATAGATGGTATAAAAATAATACAACTAGGAGTGAAAAAAGAGTTCCAAGTCCTTGCCCATTCCCAGCTGGATCTGGTGAGGCTGGAACTACTGGAAAATTTTTTTCAAGCAAAGTTATGTTAGGAAAAGCTTGCTGCTGGAACATCTTGCCTTTTTTTCCAAGCATTGTATTCCAGGACTGCTCAGACCTTGTTCTGCTCTGGCCCCAGGAGACTGAAAAAAATAAAGCTAATGAAAAAAGAAGGCGAGATACAACAGGGTGGGTGCTTCCCTGTGGTGGCTGCCTGCTTGCAATCCGACTCTGGGAATCTTTATTGGACGTGGAAACTGTTAGTCCCAAAATCCTGTTCCATTACAATGCAGGGTAATGGAATATCTCAGTGTCAAGGCCCATTCGTGGATCCTTGTAACAGAGCCGGGCCCGTGGCATTCGTTTTGGAAGCACTCTTCCTAGTGCAGAGAGTTTATTTGTAGTATTTTAACCAAGCAGCTTCAAGGCTTGGCATTTTCTCCAAAATTAGGGCTAATGGCTCTACCACTGAACTGCCCCTGTTCCAAGGAGTCTGACATTGAGAGCGCTGATGGAAGCGAAGGTGATATCAGGCAGTTTGGAGTCACTTTTAAAAAAAAAAAGATATGTTTATATTGGTTCAGCTCTTAAGAGCCCTTTGGACGGTAGCCTCTGAATGTCATCCTGTACAAAATGGATGGTCACTTTGTACAGAAAGGTGTCTGTCTGTGCCAGAAACGAACAGCCCCAGTGCTTGTCCTAAAACTGACCTTTAGATTAAGTGCTGACTGCATTTTGCAAAATTATTGCCGGAGTTCCTGGAGCTAGCAATTCTGAGGACAGTTTGAATACATGAACAAGTGATGGGTCTTCATTCATGGGGCTCCCTTTTACATCGAATGACATTTTGTGGAAGGAAGCCTTGTATATAAAAACATGTTGGAAACTGCGTATCAGAGGCACCCCTACTTTTCAGAGTGGAGATCATGCTATGTGTTGTGTTTTTTTTTAACCTTAACTGACTTACTTGTCTTAAATGAACAAAGAAACAACCTGAGCTGCTAAATTTGAGCCATATTTGGGCTTTGTTGAAGCACTTCACTATGAGTTCAAAATATGCTTGAAGATCTGGAGTTAAGAAAGAAAAAGAAAAGGAAATTAAGCACTTTCACAGGACCTCTGTTTGAATTAAAATGAACAAAGAAAGGAGCAAATACAGTATTTTCCCCCATGATTATCCTATTTAATATTTCATGTGTTTTTATGTCTCAGTGGACAAGAATATTAGTGGTAACTTTCATAGGTTTGCTCATTTTTCTAGCTAGAAGCATTTTGCTGCTCTTTCAGAACTAACACATCTTTTTTTTTTTTTTGTCCTGCTTCAGTATGCCATTTTAGACACTAAAAAGTACTTCTAATTCTGTAACCAGTCATCTTGATTTCCTTCCTGCCCCCCACTTCCATTAGTAATGCCTGGCAGTGACTCAGAGCTACCCTGCTTTCTAGTTAGGGTGAACGAGAAACCACCAAGAGCGAGAAAAACACGGAGTGAAGGCAACCACTGGCACCCGCTCTGCTGCAGGATGGCAGCGATCTGCTGCTGGGCAGGCGTTCCAAGTTGGAGTAAGAGTTTCCATTAGCCACAGCTCCTGGCTGCCTAAGGAGAGAGGCAGTGTCGTCTGTTGAAGCAGGAGACTTGAAGCCAAAGCCCTCCTGAGATCTCTTTCCTCTTCTCTTACCGATTCCTGGTGCGGCAGTGGGCAAGTCGTCGTGTTTACTTCCCAGTCTCTGCTGTACGGAGTTATTTAAAAGCTAATTTGAGAAGATTAATTGGAAGTTCTTGAAGTAGCAATAGGAATCGTTGAAGCTGGTAGTCACCTACCTGTAGTATCTTGCCTGTTCAGTGGCCGTCCTGTCTTCCTAGATAAGTTACAGGGTTCATCTCCTGCCTGAGGTAGCCCAAGGTAAATGTGACACCGTGAAGCTGCACAAAGTGGCAGCACAGTGAATGAGTTTGTACCAGAGAATGCCTCCCATCAGTTTCCAGTCTGCAGATCTGTTCTTAGAAATGTGTGATATATTAATACATCCAATAAATAACATCTTCTAAAATACACGAATCTGGTAAATCTATGGATTATCAGGAGTAGTCTATCGCAACTCAATAGGCTGGGGTGCTAGAGGGCTCTGTAAGAAGAAATGAGGTAAAGGAGGAAAAAAAAAAAAAGAAATGAAACGTTAACAGCTTATAGTCACAACGTAAACACTGGCAGTTGGAAGCGATCGTGGCTCTTTGTGTTGTCACTTGCTTATTTTACCAGGGGGGCACTTTCAGACCAAGATGTTGCCTGGAGTTCAGAGGACAGCTACACCAACCAGCAGGGAACCTGCCGGTGTTCAGCTCTGCCGTTTCCAATAAACATCACTTCACTCAATGGAGGAATTACTGCGGAGGGCTTTGAGGAATAAAGACACTGACCAGCCACAAACAGTGCTCTATAAAACTGCCTTTCTCAAGCCTTTTACTTTTTTTTCCACACTTTACACAAAGTTACAGGTCTTTGAAGTGAAACTATATGAAAACAGTGGCTAAGCAGCCATACGTGTCCCGTTTAAATATTTGGTTCAAGAAGTCTGTTTCTCTGCTCCTGTGAGTATCAGGAAGTGTGAAGATCCTTTTAGACACTTAAAAAAAAAATCACTACAGCAGTGTTGCAAAAATGACACAAAATCAAGCTGAGCTTTCCTTTATAAGCAAACGAATACAGTGCGTATTTTGGGGGAAAAAATAAAAAAAGAAATACTGGTATAAACTAAAGAAGCACATAAGGTTCAAACTCCCTCATTCTATTAAAGCTAATTTCGTTGGTTTGCAGGGAGGTGAATCCCTCTGGGAGCTTCTGGTTACAACCTCAGCTGTGAGAATGAAGTTATCCGCCAGGGCCCCTTGATAGGTTATTTCCACGAAATTCCCTCCAGTTCACTTATTGCTGAGGACCTTGAAATATTATCATAATAGTTGAGCTGTGTTGAAAAGATTGGATGTTCTGAAGTGGTTAAGGCGAAAGGAAGTTGTTTCAGTCGCTGGATCCCTTTATGGTTCCCTCGCGAGGAGGAAAATCGGGTGATGTGCTGAAATTAAAGAGCGGCCAGGCTGAATCGCACACTCGTTCTTCCAAATTGTTTTGGGACAACTTAATTTTGAGCATTCTGGATAAAAATCTCTAGCCAGGCGGGTTTGAATCGCAGGGATGTGCCTTGAATTGCCTCTCCTCGCGTGTTGTTCCTCGGGGTGGCTTCTCAAGCTGCCCTGCGTGCTGCCACACCTTGCTGTAGAGCCAGGCATCTGCGGTAAGGTGGTCCCAGTGTTTTATGTTGTGATTGCATTTTTAGTTTCCCTTGTGTGTGCAGTCTCTCCCGGCTACATTCAGGTTTGTTCTTTCCGTTGAGCTACAAGCAAGCCACTTTCAAATTGCATTCTGATAAAGCCCTATGGATTTTAAAGGTCACATTCTTTTCTCCGATGAATACATCATTCCCATTGATTCACCTGCTGTTTCTGCAAACTCAGAGTATTACTGATGACATTAATTATGTTAATACGCAGAGGTTTCTTAGCATGAGCTCAAGCTTTTCTAACACGCTAATTTTTAAGATCTTTTTAAAATGCAGGAAAGATGGGGAGGAGTTGAGTGTTAACGCACTGGAAGAAAGAAAATAATTTTCTTTGTGCAATTCATGCTTCTGAGATGGTCCTGCAAACAGTGCTGAGTGTTTCGAGTTATTGATTGGTTTACTACCTAGGATGTAAAGCAATCTCCAGATGTGATCTCATGTTATTTTTCCTGCTGAGGCATTGCTATAAAGGAATTCTGTCAAACCTGTTCAGAGAAGCCAAAGAAAAGCCTGAAAAACACAGGTAGCAGAAAGCAGCATAGAGCCACTGCGTTGCTTCAGCTCACTTTTAGTTTGGCGCTGTTGCCTGGTTCTCAGAACCATCTTAACATCTGTTTCGAGAGGAAACGAAAGTTACCTTTTTGGCTTCATTTCATTATGTCTGTAACCCTTTTCTTCAAAATGAACATCTGTTTCTGGCTCTTTGGGTCTGAGGGAGAGGAAAAGTCAGTGCAATGGAAACCTGGCTCAGGTTGCGATATTTGAAGAAACAAAACCCCTTCTCCCACCGTGCCTGCCCATGCCGGACATTTATCCTCTTGTCTGAGTTCAGGAGCTCTCTGTCTGCGTTGTTTTTTAAGAGCACACGAGTGCTTTCAGACAGTAAATCGACAAGAGTGAAAATTCGATGGAAGGTAACTGAAAGCAAACTCAGTGCCTCGTTATGTTTCATGAGGTCACTGGGATGCTGTGGAGTAAAGATGTCTGTTAATTGTGATGTCTGTTAATTCTGATGAAAATAGGGGATAATAATTGTCTTACCCCAACTAAATTGTTTGTAAGGCACAGATGTTAAACTGGATAATCTGCACAACACGTTTACTGGCAAATGTTGGGCATGATTTTACTGAGTGAAATGGCTTCTGTATTTCTCCAGTTCGATTAGCATCTCGTTGCAGCTGATCTGACTGCAAATTGACCTCTGTTGCATTTTTCTTTTAGATATTTACGGTGGGCCGCAACGTGAGCGCTGCCAAGAGAATAGATACGAAGAGGTTCAAGCAGAAAATATTTCGAGGGTGGACACATAGCTCATCCTTGGAAGTGCTACCCAAGGTGCAGAGAGTGTCTTTGTCAGGTTCGTGCAGGAAGAACGAGACGGGCACTAATGAATGCTGGGGCTTAACAACAGGAGCAACCTCACTGCAGAGCAGAATTGCTTTGAGGTCTACTTAATATAATATAATGTAGCAGTATTAGCTGCTGCCCTATTAGCATAATTTGCTATTAAAAGTGATGTAAGGTTGACATGGGATTGAGGAATACGTGTGACTGTCTTGCCAAGTATGGGCCAAGCACAGCTTCATCCAGAACTGCCCAATGTTAGATGACAACATGTTTTGGTGAGAGAAGATCCATGGGACAAGCTTCTGCAAGCAAAGATGTAGGGGGGAATCCTGCAAAAAGAGAAGAGTAGCGCAAAGGATACGAGGTTTATGGCATTGTGTTGATTTTTTTGCTATGATGCCATAGCTGTTAAGTGTATTCCTCTGCTAGCATAATTTGCTGTGAGATGACTTTGTTGGTTGCTGGAGATTTTTGCTGCATTTCGCCATGTGGTTCACGTGAATCTGTGGATCTCCCCGGCTTCTGTTGCACAGCAATTTGTTCTGTGCAGGAGACTTTAGAAGCAGCCTGGAGTACAGTGAGTACTTGAGCGTCGGGAGTGCTTTGAAGGGATAATTGGCTTCCTTCCATTTGAGGATTTAATGGAGCACCTTTCCAGTCCTCAGCACCTCCCATCTTTTGGAGCAGCACAGTAACCCATATCTCGTGCGTCACTCCAGGGAAGCTGGCTTGTAATAAATAGCAGAGTTTTCAAAGTACCTGCTCCTGAGAGCTGGCATAGCGCTCTGGCTGGCTAGTCTGGAAGAGAGGAGATTATGCTGCTGCCTGAAAGCAGGAGAAGGTGACAGTGCTATACCCAAGGCTTCAGTAATGTTTGAGGAATAGCCTCCAGTTTGTGAGTTTGTTCTGGTACTTCTCTTGCTAGACAGAATGGATGGGCACCCGTTCTGTTCCTGCAGGTACGACTCTACAGAATTTCTGCCTTAACCTCAGGAGAAAAGACTCCTGTTCTCCTCCCACATTGCCAACATTTACACTTGGGGTTTATTATGCACTAAAGACAGCAGCAGTTCTTGTGTGTGCAAGCAGGGTGAGTTCAGGGCCTGATTCAACAGCGTGCGTGTGCACATGCTTAAATGTAAGCACACAATTAAGAGTTCTGTGGGAGAGGGATTTGGGAGTTGTAATAAAAAGTGAGATTAGAGATTGGGAAGATTAGAGGACGAACGGCAGGAGTGGAGTAGGAGCATAAGGCTCTCTGGGTGGTCTACTCTGTAATCCTGTAGTTTTGGTAGTTTTGTGCATAATTTATTTTGGTCCTTACTCCTCAGACGGGATTGAAACCTCTGAGAAAAAAAGGATTCTTCTGCAAAAATACGGTCTGATAAAAATACAACCCCTAAAGGCTGATCCCTACTTACCTGTGCTGTGCTTTAAAGTGCCACGCTCACCCACGTCACGAGGGCCTGGTTGTGTCTGCTGTGCAGGATAACATAAAGCCAGGAGTGGCAGCTGGGCAGTGCAGAAGAGTTGGGCACTTCAGATCAGAAGCTTTTCTGGGTCTGCAACAAAGACGTGAGTCTGAATTATGCCAGGGCTTCCAGCTCTACCTTCTCCTTATCATTTATCCCGGAGGACAATTCTTGTTTCCAGGTGATTGTTGAGATCCTGTTGGCGCCTGACTTGTAGAGAACTGTTCTTAATGCTGCATTTCTTATACAAAAAAGAAAGAAAGAAAAAAAAAAGGTTGGCAAAGATGATGAAAGACCTTCCCATCCATCCAGGAGTGGTTAGGAACATTAGGCTTGCTTTTATTACGAGAGATAATAGTGCAGCACTTCTTAAGGCTTTAGAAAGGTGTAGACAGCAAGGAATAAAATGAAAAATAGAGCAGTTTTTAATGGAAGAAATGACACCCACTGCTCGCTGCAGCCATTCAGATATTCAAAAAGTGCTAAACATCACAGCACACAAATAACAGTCAGGGAGACTGGGGAGAACTTTAACTCCGTAGTACTTTAATGATTAATTTCGCTTGTACTCATCCTCGTCCTTCAAGGTTACTCTTAATTACCAGCGTGGTAATACCTGGGAACATTTTGCAATGCTAAACCATTTAAAGATAGGTATGTATGTTTGGATTTGTTTGAAGGAAATGATGTCTGTGACAGATAGAAAAAAGCAAGAATTTCTGTGCTGAGATCAGAGGCGTTCAAGACAACAAAACTCGGATTCAGACACGCACAAACCGTTTCACTTCATCAGGCTAAGCAAAGTAGGTCTGCGAGGAAGCTAATTCATGTCATGTATATAAAGCAAGTCAAATTCCAGCTACTACAAAGCTTTTACGTAAGACTTTGCTGACCCAATAGGTGGTGGAATATAAATAGATCAACAGTACACCCTTCCTTCTGCTGTTCTACCTAATCCTTCCTTGCCTTCGGGATTGAGGAGTATTTGATCTATTGAGTCTTAAATCAGACGTTCTTTCCTACAAAAAATCCCCCAAAAGCCAGGAGAATGAAAATTTAATGGTGGGAGAGTGTTCTTGTGATTTTAGAACGAGAAGCAGAATTAGGAATATACAATTGTGCTTTTTTTTTAATGTATATTAACTTCACAAAGCTGTAGCTGCATGGCCCTCTGCTTGCTCTCCATAGCTACCCCTGCCAGGTGACTTGGTGTGAGCCTCTCCAAAAAGAGTAATTGCGTTAAACCTGCATTCATTTGCTTTCTCCTTTTCAGTAATACTCCAAATGCCCTCTTCATCCTGCCTGCAGGTCTCCACTGCTGCTCAGAAGATGGAGCACTTTTTATTTTTAGTAACAATATCTCTCACGCTGGGATGGAAGAATCTTAAACCAATTAAACACATTAGAAGATAACAGGGTGTGTGGGTTTGGTTCAAGATCTCCATTTTCTTCACTCTGGGGTATGTCCTAGCACCAGCCTTTCTGTCCAAGATGACAGAAATAGTGTGATAAGCTGCTAACTAGGTAAGCAGTACAGCTGCTGCTTTGTCAGGTATTCTCTTGCCAAAAAATCACTGGTGATGGGTTTTGCCTTTTTGTAAAATTCCATTCCAGTTAAGTTTTATAAGCGGTCTCAGCTTTGACTTAGGAAATTGTTTTCAGATGTCTATTTCTTTGGAAAGATTTTCTTTTAAGAGCAAATCTCTTGAGCTTGAAGTGCTTTTTTTTTCCGGTAGAAGAGGATTGTGTGTGTTTGAGATTTGATGATTTGTGCTTCCCTTTTAATAATGCTTGGTTATTGGGGGGAAAAATAAAAAATAATGATAAAAAAAAACACTTGTGAACTAGCTAGAGTATTCTGATCCCTTAAAATATGTCTGCATGCACATATTTTAACTCTGTGTATGTGCTCGGAATAGCAGGTGGGTTTGGGTTGCTGACCTGCATGCCCTCACCAGCAGGGATGGAGTCTTCAGCTTTTTATTTATTCTTGATCTTTAATTTGACAGTCAGAATTCAAAGCATGGCGCAGGCGATCTTGGATTTACTCTTACCGGGGAAGCTCTGCTGCTCCGCTTGGCACCACGCAGCCTCCAGCCAGCCCTGGGAGCTCCTAGCACCCACCGACAGTGATAGTGAGCAAATAGCCAGGATATTCTTCTGCAGGGGCTCATTTTTTAAAGGTAATGCAGGTTTTTGGTAATCAAGTGCCCAATTTGCTGAATTACCGTCCTGCTAATAGCCAAGAGTGTTTGCATCGCAGGGGCTTGTGAAGATAAATGAACTCGTCGGCGAGATGCTCAGATTGTCTCATTTGTTATTTTTCTCTCGTACGTGGCATTTGATAGATGGCACGCTGCTTTCTATGCAAATAGCTTCACCCTGGCTAGTTTTTGTGTTTGTCTGTGGGAAGATGTATCTAAAAATGGAGGCCTTTTTGACGGTTTCAATTACAGTTGGGGCGGTTCCATCCTGCAGGTTGTGTTGGCTGGGGACTTCGATTTTTCCAGCCAGAACCACACGAAGTGCCCAGCCCAGCTGCAGGTTCTTTTTGCTGTGCTGCTGCTCGTTTTCTCCCTCTGTCTTGCTGCCTCCAGCCCCTTTGCTTCGGTACGTGGGGAGATTTTTCAACTTGCAAGCTTTCTGCCAGGAGATGGAGGTGGCATACGGGGCTCTCTGGGGGTGATGCTTTCTGCCTTCACCCCTGTCCCTCCTGGGTTAATCCCAGATCGAGTAGTAGATAATATGTGTTTTAGAACAAGTCTAGGAAGGACACGAGCAGCCTGTGCCATGCTCCCTTTTCCCACCCAAGTCATTCCTACACCATGGAAGCTGTAGGGCCGTGCCTGTGTGCACACACCCCTACCTTTCCCCCCTTTCCCTTTCGGTAGGACATGGAAAATGTGGCCAACCTTCAGGAAGGACAAGGTTCTTCACGCCTTTTCAGAAGCAGCCATCTTCCCTTCCCTCCTCCACGCAAAGAATTTTAAAACAAACGCTACCCTGTAACCCGAAATTTGCTGAAGCATCTGTTTCTTCCCTGGAGTTCTGGAAAAAAGAAAAAAAAAATTTGATCAATGTCAAGAGTCTGCCTGGAAACTGCGTATGCTGGAGAATGAATTCACTGTGCATATCTCACAGCTCCTATTTATACCTCTGTCGAGGTCCGTGTTGTCCTCATCTGCTCCTCTGCCTTCCCAGTCAGCTCCTGGAGCCTTCTCTCCTTTTCCCAGATAGTTCCCAGTGCCTCATCCGATGCAGCGATGGGCTGCAGAGCACGAGGCTGTGACGGGGCCTGGGGCTGACCGAAGGCTCTGCCCTGCTCAGAAAGGCAGTGGGCAGGCGTGCAGGCTCCTCGCTCTGCCATGTAAATATCTGAGTTATGTTACAGGAGAGGTTCTTCAAGGGTAGCCTTAAGGTTATCACTAATTGTCCCATGGAAGAGGTGAGTGTTTCATGGTCGTCTGTAATCGTAACGAGCTCAATTCCCTGAGCTGGGCTTTCTGAAGGCTGGCACAGCCTCACGTGCTGAGTGAAACGAGAGTGTCCCTGCACTTAGTGCTCAGCAGCTGCAGAAGTGGCTGTTACCAGGTCAGCAGCCATAGCACAACCCTTGTTATTCATATTTTTAAGTCAAAAAAATCAGTGCGGTCAGGTATTATTCTTTTTTCAAATGTTAAATAGGAAGCACTTCTTTTTCTAGCTGGAGAACATTTGTTTGTGTTGAATTTTGGTGTTGTTAGCAGTGCTCTTGCTTCCCCGCAGCACAGGGACGTTGTCTTTATCCTTTCGAAGCGCCGAAAAAATGATAAATGAGGTTAACAAGCTTCAGTCCAAGTGAGAACCGAAGCTGTGACTGTAGAGCTCTCAGTGCATTAATTCTGGTCAAGGGTTGGTTTGTTCATTTATTTCCTCCATGTCTTTTCTCCCCGGCCTCCTGAGAATTGGTAAATGTTCCTGGAGCTCAGCTGGAGCAGCCTTTTGTAGGGCTTCAGAAAGAACACTGGGCACGGCATTTAGGAGCGTGGATACCTTGTTTTCCTTAATTGCTTCCCAATCAGAAACTGGATGAATCTTCGGGATGCGGAAACGGGGAAAATCCTCTGGCAAGGAACAGAAGATCTGTCTGTACCTGGAGTGGAGCACGAAGGTAACTGCGTGGCCTCGCTGTGCACCTGGGGGCTGGGCTGGGCTGCACGTCTGGGTCACCAAAGCTGCTGGTGTACTTGTGTTTGGAGGACAGATGTCCTGGCTCTGCTGGCCTTTGCTAGCTCAGGTGTTGGTTGCAAAATGAAAAGTCTAAAGAGCTGCAGACTTTTCTCCATATAACGGGGCAGGGTTTGGTCAAAGTACAGGTCCAAAGGAAAAGCAGCGTGGAAGAAACATACACAGTTTGTGCCTTTTCTGGCCACAGCTGACCTAATATTCTGCACTAACTTTGCCCTCTGCTTTAAAATGGCACACATGTTGCATTGGCTCTGCTCTGCTGTCCCCCATGATTGCTAGGGCAGCCTCTTCCCTGTCCTTTCTGTCCTTGCCATGTGGCAGAGGACTCCACTGTCCCTTACACATCCCCTTTGTGACACAGCACTGTGAAGGTAACGTCCCTTGCCAAGAGCTTTGTTTTGGCTCTGCAAAGAGTCTGACCTCACCGAATTAATTTGAAGACTTTGCTATTAAGTGAGTGTCATGCAGCTGATCTCCAGCAAGTGGAGTCAACTTGATCATTTAATTGTGATGCTGGCATCGACATATTTTTGGTTAAACATCAAGGATTGAGTTCTGTATTGCAGTCCTAAGACTTACCCATCCCATAAATAGGGAAATTGTTGTGTCTGAAGGAAACAGCCAGCTTACCGTGCTGCCCAGGGAACAGACAGAAGATCTGTAGCAAAACACTGTGAGTCCAGTGATATACTTGATTTTAAAATGGGATTAAAGCACGAGAGAAAGGAGTTGCCTTCTCCTCATTTGGTCCCCAGTCAACATTCACCTGCTTTATGGAGAGAGTTCACTTTTAGGACCAGTAGTAGGTTGCCCCAGCTTAAGGGGAGGACCTGATGCCGGGAATGGAGCAGGCATGTCAGAGCTAGGGGAAGGCCAAGCTGTGACTCTGTGATCAGTAACAGCATTTTCCAAGCTTTGTCTCCTTCAGCCTTGCTAACCCGTGCTCCCAATATCATGCCACTGCTAGCAGCAAACAGTCCTGTCAATAGCAAACAGGCCTTAACAGGTACTTCCTTACACCCACCAAGGTGCCTATATTAAAGAAAAACATTCCAGCACTTTAAATACAACTGTAATAAAGCAACTGAAATCCAACTTCCAAAAGAAATGCAATAATTCATCAGTGTAATGCTAAATTTCTTGAACCGTGGCTCAGTGATACTTTGCCTTCTTCAAATACTTGTAGTGTTTGGCGTGCTACAGCACCTGACAGCAAACCCAGGAGAAACGAGGGATCAGGCTTTCAAAAGCAGAAGAAAATCAGCCAAAAATATGCCCGTTCTTCCCAGATTTGGTGCTGCAAAAGCTTCACGTGGACACGTGGCTCGTCTTTGAAGCCTCTTCTCTCTGTCTCAGCAGACCAACTCCGCCTTGGTTCAGTGAGAGCCTCGGGACGATGTGATTTGGGGCAGCTGGAGCTGTGCTCATGAGTGTTGGTGGTGTTGCCCCATTTCCCGTCGCCTTTCTCACTTTGACAAGTCAGATCAGCCTCACCACATCTCAGATTTTCCTCACACATAAAACAGGAACACTCCCCTCCATCAGAGGAGCTTGGGGAATTAATTAAAGCATATTCTGGCGTGAGATTAATGCCCGTTGTACAAGGAATTGTCCAGACCTTATCTGGTGTGCGGTTCGGTCATCCATCTAAAAGATGAATGACTGTAAACTTGAGCAGGTGCAGAGGAGAGCTGTTAGGTAAAGCCACTGGAAAAAAATAAGGGTGGGAGGATGGTCCTCCTTTGGAAAAGAGAGGAAAAAAAGCCATTCTTGTATAGCTTAGCGAGGAAAGAAGGCTGAGATGGCTCAGGTGTGTGTTCTGGGGCCTTTCAGGGCACATAGCAAGCAATCACATAGAGAGCAGAGTGAATAAAAGATAATTAATTGAAATGTGATTTTTATTTAAGTACAAGTTTCTTTAAAAGCTAACTCTTAAATTTCAAATCATGATACTCTGTTAATACCCAAACTTACTGCTTAGATGAAATTAAAAGAATATTAATGTGGAATTAGATTGCAGCTGAAGCTTTAGTGTTAACCCACTGGATGTGGTGCAGATCACTGCCTGAGAACCTGGAGGTGGAATTTACCAACAAGCTAAATCAGCTTCTGATAGCAGGAGATTTACCATACACCCAGTTAGCTCACTGTGTGTTCGGTGCCCTGGCAGGCAATCTGGGAGCTGGGAAACAGCAAAGTTTCTTCTCTTCCAGTACATAAACAAAGCGAGGTGCAAGCAGCTGACATCCAGCACTTGTAAAGTCCCCAGAATTGTTGCCAGTCCCCACAGTCCCTTCCATTCAGGAAATACAAATCATCCTTTCATTGTCTAAGAAAAGATGCAGTTTTCAGTACAAAGTATGTGTGGATGAACCAGCTTTTTTTTTTTTTTTAACATATCCCAAATATATCACATAGTTTTATTAAACTATGAGAAAACATAACAATACTGATGGCTTAATTGAATTTCAGTTTTTGACTGTTTGGCCCCAAATGAGTAGTTTAGTAAATAAGAAATGTATCACCCATCACCTTCTTACAGAGTTAAGTGTCAGAATTAAGAATCCGAATTAGTATGATAGCTATATAAAAGCTTTAAGAAACATGCAGGTATAATAAATACATCCTCTGGTTAAAAAATAACAGGAGAACATTTAGGATAAAGTCTGTGCTTACCTGCATTTCGGTGCGTTTTGATGGTCCTAGCTGATGAGCATCGAACTTCTTTCTCTTCTCTCTTTTTAACAGAAAAGAAGAGGTACAAAAGTAAAATGTGTTTAAAATAAATAAATGAAAACTCTCAGCTTGGTGGTATAAATATCAATTAAAATCTCTTAGATCGCGGCTTTAAAGACAACACAGTCCTACTTTTATTAAAAGTAACCTTTTATTTTGCAGTTTTACAATATTAAAGCAAACCTTCTCAGCAGTTTGTCTCGGGGATGAAAGAAATGTAATTACTAAATTGCAGAATAGTTTTAACAAGTCATTTTGCACTTAACTGCAAAGGGATGTTTGTGCACAACAGGCTGGAGTCTGTACTTGTGAGGGCAGTCGAGGATGGTGCCATGCAGATTTCCAGGCTGAAAAAAAAAAAAAAGGCTAAAAATAATTAGAGCGCTTTACATTTAAAACTCTTCTCTTGCACTTTTAACTTTCTTTCTTTATTTATTTATTTTTATTTTGGCAAGCCATGGACTGCTGTACTTCTCCATGGGATAGGGCAGTAGCTCGCATTCCCTTGCCCTCCAGCAATCTAGATGGCTCTCAGAGCAAGGTCCTGCTCCATCAGACTGTTTCACATCAGGTGGATATGCCAGGGGTTTGGAGGACTCTTACTTTTATTAAACAGCAGCCTGCTGTCTGCTCACGGATGTTTTGATAGGCTTCCCATTTCGGACTAGTTTGGCACATAAAGCACGTACCAGCTGTATTCCCTCCCCTCTCTATTTTTAATAAATTGACACGAAACACTTTCTGCTACGCAGGAAGGATTATGTACAATCACACCACTTAAGTATGACAGGCTTGGGAGATTTTTACTATACTGCTTCCCCCACTCCCAACCTTATTCGTCTGATTTGGACCTTTCAGCATCTGAATCTGTGCTGCAAACTGCCCCTCCTCTTACTCCTGCACCTCTAAAAAAAAAACCATGAAATATCTAACAGGTACAGTTGTCTCACCTGTTTCAAGAGCACAGATAACTCAGATTTGCCTCTCTCAAACCATGCGGGTTGCTGCTGACTTTTCTGCCTGTGTGAGGCTCAATGCTCAGGGAAGAGGCGTTTCGTGTACTTGTACAGGATGACGTCCCAGAGCTACGAGAGGTGGCTGGAACAGTGCTGCCGGGCTGAGGAATTTGTGGTTTGCTGGGGATGCACAGCCTGAAAGGGAAGAAGAAGTGAGAAGGACTAACACGCCTGTGTACAAACAGCCCTTTGGCTGCATGTGACCTTCAGCATGTTCCCTACAGTAAAAATTCAAGTTGCATCTCAATGTTTTGACTTGAAGAACAGTGTTTTTAGTGACAGAGTTAAGAACTAGCACTTTGAGAAATCAGTGTTGTATTCCTGGTTGTGTTACAAGGTTCATTCCTGGCTCTGGGCATTCCTGGCTTAGATTTCACACCTGCAAATGTAAAAACAAAGTAGGGAGAGTCCTTTCTGCTTGCGTGTCTCCTACTACTGTGATCTTCTACTGCACTAATTGCTGTTTCAATGTATTCTCTAACAGCACCCAAAGCAGCTGGGTTTGTTTCATTGTGTCCAAATAACGCTTGTTTATCTGTTTGACAGCTCGAGTTCCTAAAAAAATCCTGAAATGCAAAGCAGTGTCTCGGGAGTTAAACTTCTCCTCGGCAGAACAAATGGAAAAATTCCGCCTGGAACAGAAAGTTTATTTCAAAGGGCAGTGTCTAGAAGGTATGTGCCTGCTCTGCGTGCGGCCCTGCTGCAGCGCAGGGGGTGAACCCCAGCGTGGCCGGGATTAGAGGAACTAAACCGGGTTGAAGGCAGTAATTTTAATTTTTCAGAGTGGCCCTGAAGCACTCATCTTGTCAGGACTAATGGGCCGCAGCATTAGGGATAGCATTTCATAAGTGTATTAACACTTTGTTATGTAAGCAAAAAATCTGGGTAATCATGCCGCAGGGCATAAATCCACCGCAGGCTGCCTGAGGCTAGGAAACGGGTTATTTTAGTGTCACCCATCGTGGGGATTCATGCATCTTCCTCAGCAGCACCTTGTGCTGGCCTCTGCCAGGCTGGAGGCTGGGCTAAAGGAGCCTCTGGTTTGCTGTGGTCGCAGCTGTGCCCCTGGGTGTTCGCTGCCTGCGTCTCAGCCTCATCTCCCTGGCTGCGGTATTACTCCTAATCTGGGGGAAGGAGGGGCAGAGAAACATTGAGCTCCTTGTCTTTGGGGCAACCAGTTGGACGCTTCGTCTGAACTGGCTCCGCAGGATGTCTGCAAGAGGGGGGGGATGTGATTTCCCTGCTCCCGATGAGGTGCGATGGAATTTCCATCGGATGCTAAGGAAGCGGCGTGAGTTTATCGCTTCCATCAGCTCATACAGAAAGGGAGTAGCTGCATTAAGAGGAGGGCAGGGTTCAGTGCATTTTAAGTCGTAATGTAAAATTAAAATTTACAAAGTAATGTAAATGTAAAATGTTGGCAGCACTGCAAGACAGATTAGGGAGTTCCCCAGCCTGTCAGGTGAAAAGCAAAAGGACCATTTGTGGATTTCTTTTTTTTCTTCTTTCAAATGCCTCTGAATCTTCTTTTTACTTTGCAGAATGGTTCTTTGAATTTGGTTTTGTGATTCCTAACTCCACAAACACTTGGCAGTCCTTGATAGAGGCAGCACCTGAATCACAGATGATGCCAGCTAACGTTTTAACGTGAGTGCCTTGGGCTTACAGAACCTGAGAGCAGGCAAAGAAAAAGCAGTGCATGACATTTCCTTGGGGGCCACAGTGGGAATGAAGAGAGGGAGCTGCTACCAGCTCTGAGTCACCCTCGCTGCTATTAGCTTCTGAGAGATAAAAGGGGCGAAGCCAACCTCATTACCTGCTTTCCCATAGGTCCAATTTGCATTAATATAGCAATAAAAGTTTGGAGAAACTGGAACTGATCCTTTATTAGAGCTGCTTTATTTTTTTTTTTGAAAGGTGATCTGTGAAAGGGTTTAAAAATGCTTTGCAGCTTAGTGCCCCTCACATCCAAATGGGCAAACAAAAATAGATATTTGGACCACTTTCAAATCCAGCTACTGGTGACTGAATCCTGTCCAAGGTGGGTGTTTTTCAGGCAGAATGTCACCCATGGGAGCTGCTCAACTGTTTGTTCCATCCCTGTACCATTTTGTCAAGCTTCGTGTCCTTACATTTGAGTATAATCTATGCATTTAGTCCTGTGGAGTGGCATCTGAGGTTAAAATACCCTTAACAGGTAGGAAGCAGGCACTTTACAGTAATCCATAATGGGATTCACACACTTCCCTCATAAACACCTCGTCCTGGCCACAGTTTGCACGTTGACTTCTGAGTGCTTGGATCAGAATAACTCGTGCTGGGCAGTGCTCTGACTGGGAACAGCAAGGCACGAGGTTTGCTGAGGTGAGGGAAAAGTGAGATGAAGGTAAAGGCTCTTTGAGGGAAGCCCCTGGGAAGCTGTAATCACGGACAAAAGGCCACCCTCCCTGCTGTGGCTGATGCGGTGCTAGATGGGTGCTGGCACACACGCAAGGAGCACGTTGCCAGCAGAGACAGAAGGGTACAGGAATCCTTGTGCCAACCCGAGGCAGATAGAGAGCAGCTCGTCTCACCACAAGGTCACCGTGTCCTCTGGAAGACCTCCCTCCCTCTCCAGCGTTTTCCCTCTTGTTCCATCTGGAGGAAAGCCAGTGGTGTAGAGAAGGCACTGGGATGGGAAACGCCATCACCGATTGCTACTCGCAGCACGTTTCAAAGAGATAGCGGGCTCAGAAGGAAGCCTTGGTGTTAGGCACGTGCTCCTGGCCGCAAGCTGCTCAAGGAACTTGGAGGTGCCACACACATCCTTGGCTCCCAGGGCTGGTGGCATTTATTCAGAATAGGAGGTGCCAGGTCAGGAACCAGAGGAAAGAAGCAAAGACATCTGACAATTGGTACCGACCGTCTCAGAAAATCACGTCATTTTTCGGGACTGGGAGTCGTTGGAGTCCAGTTCTCAAATGACACTGAGGATTTTCCAGGGTCCCGTTCTTTCCCTGGAGCCTCTCCAGGCTGTCCGGCAGCGTAGGGATGGGGGGATCCACATGGGAACACAGTGGGGAAATCCTTCACCCTGATGGCCACAGGATCGGGACACAGCGCTCACTGCACGGGGCTCTAAGCTAGAGGAAGTGTTGTGGGGAGCGAGCTGTCAGCCTGGGTTTGTGGTAGCATTGAAAGGAGCAGCCTGTTTTTAGTGTCTTTGTGCTCTTCTAACACCTCTTCTCTCTCCCCTTTTCCTTCCGCAGTGGTAATGTTATTATAGAAACCAAATTCTATGACGACGACCTTCTTGTAAGCACTTCCAGAGTGAGACTTTTCTACGTTTGAGATGGGGCTTTTTGGAGCTGTTTTAGTTTTCCTCCATGCAGTTCTTGGTGCAGAACCTCCTGACTATCCAGTGGAAGACACTCCTGTAGGCAGTGACCCTGGGGACCAGCTCAACGTGGGTTGTGACCTTTGCCCATCGTTATTTTGCTTTCTTCTCTGACAAGACCAGACCAAACCCTCAGAGACGGGACCATCTGCTCGGCGGCGCGGTGGGGAATAGAGGCTGTCTCTGAAAATGGGCAAACGGTGGTCGTGCAGAACCAATACTGTAAATTATGTTAGTTTTATCCTTTGTACTTCTCTGGATCCTGGTATAACCTCCCGTTTCTACTCACACCCCACTCTCAACGCGTTTCGTTCAGCTGGGGGTGGGGGGCGTTAAGTTATCCTTTTCCATTTTCATGTTGTAGGTTTTTATCCTTTCACTGGATTTCTGTGTAACTGGTCCACACTTCCTCTTACCCCGAACTTGTAAAATAGACTGTGATATCACCTAATGTAATTACAACAAATTTCTCAATTAAAACATTCCTACCGTCCAAAGAAGGGAAGAAAGGTTGGTGCCGTGCGTTTTTTCACACACAAACTCTTCCCAGCCCAGCCAGCAGCAGAACAGAGCTTTCCACGCCCCTGCTTCTCCCCCAGCCCCCGTGGCCTCGTTAAATTGCATTTCCCACAGCTGAACAGGCAGGAGAAGCTTCACAACTGCTGTGACCACGGGCAGGTTTCCTCCCTGGTCTCATTTCTGTCCGTTAGTCCCTCAGGGCGGTTTGTCCCTTTTGCCCAGCCATGGGTTTCTTGAGCAGCACTGCTCTGTTTGGCTTCCCAAGCTCCTGGGGACACTCGGACCTCTGGAAAATCCATTTTCCCCTGAGCCTGCCTGCGTTGGTGCTGCGCTGGGCTCTGCTCCCCGAAACACATCTGTGGTTACAGCTGCTGATGCCAACAGCCCCCTGCGTGCGGGACTTTAATGGCACGTGGAGGCACTTTTGCTACTCCAGGCTTCACGAAACACACTGCTCCTCTTCCCCGTTGTCCCGTTATTCATCCTACCAAGCATAAATCTTGGGAAGCGTGTGCCTTCAGCCCCTGCTCTCACACCTCACAGGTAGCTTTGTGATCACACAACTCCTTGGTCAGCCTGACCGGCTGGGCTTGAGCTTCTCGAGGGAGCCACAGGAGGATTCAGGGCACATTTCAGACCCGCATTCAGCCGCTGGCTGGCTGGGGGAGGGAGTTAAAAGCAGAGTTAGTTTTTAAGGTGACTTGAAGGCATCCAAAACCCTGATAAAACCAAAAGCTCGGCTACCTCCGAGCCTCGGCTCGCAGCCCTGGCGCACGGCCGCCCCCCGGTGGCTCCGCTGGAAGCAGCCGCCGCTGATCCCGGCCCAGGCTCTCCCAGTTCGCCCCAGCACCTCCCAGTGCGTGGCACCGCAGCCCTCCAAGGCAACAAATTCACAGCGAAGGAACCAGAGGGGCTGGAAGGGGCTGGAGCCGAGCACACGGGGCTGTGCGGGGTGCGGATGACCCCAGGGGCTGCAGAGCATCCTAGGCGCACCGTGAGCTTCTGGAGGAGTTGGCCACCACCTGGGACCTGCTCTGATGTCCCCTCCTTGTCACACACAGCGATTCCGCCTTTCATTTCCAAAAAATTCCCACCTGGAACTGGCACCTCGGGGGCAGGGATGCTCCCCGCAGCCCGCACCCACACATGGGGACAGCTCAGGGGGATCAGGACCCAGCTGGACCATGCGAGGAGCCCCTCACCACGCAGGGACATCCCCAGCTCCTCGCACCCGCTGCCTCCAGGTGCTCACCGTGCCCATCACCACCCAATGAGGAGCAGGAACCGTCCGTGTGGTTCCTCCCAGCCTGGCCACCGCAGCTGGCGAGCGCCTTCCAGCCGCCGGCACGCACGAGGCATCGATTTCTGCGAGCGCCGCGGGGCAGGGAACGTGCCGGGGAGGCGGCGGCCCCCCACGTCGGCACAAGCAAGGGGTGACACGCAAAAAGCTGCGGCCCTAAGGGAGCTCTGGGCTCGGTTTCGGGGGGCCATCACGCCCACCACCCCCATCGCCAGCCACCCAGGGAGGCTCCGGCAGAGCCAGGCGCGGGCTGGGGTTGGCGAGCTGCCCCGATGTAACTCGGGCGGGTGAGCAGAGCCTCCCTAACGTGGCTAATTGCCTGATTCACCGGGGTTACCCGCCAACAAAAGGCGTAC